GATCTGATGAAGAGTTGCTGAAATCAATTGTTTGCCATGAACTGACTTCTAACAAGTTTTTCCCGATTGTGCATACAAAGTTCATGTTAGGTAAACGAAAACCAAGCGTACCTGTCTTAAATCACTGACGACATCCTGAATATTGTGGATTTCGGCCTCTTTCTTGTGAATTTTCTCTTGATATTCAGCCTCGAGTTGCTCGCTTATCTGAAATAACGCGAAAATGAATCTGAGTGCAAAAGTGATTTTTTTAATCTTCAGCCAACTGAATGGTCAGAAATGCTTTCCATATTTTTGTTAAAAGTGTCAAAATATTTTACAGACACCTTTAGAAAGGCCCAAGGATGCTAGCTACCTTCCAGGCCGATAAATATAGATAGGTCTATAAATTGCTTTCTCCATGAACTAATATTCATATCGCGATGAGGAGGTGAAGGTAGGCAATTTGCAGCGTTCGTATGGACACCAGTAACGCAAAAATCTTGCAACCGTTGTTGCCGCCCGCTTATTGATATGTCGAATATTACATTATTCTTAAAGGCTTGTAAAATTATCTTCTGAACGCAATAATAGTTTTTTATGGATTTATCTCTTTTACCTACAACTGTAACAATTACCAAACTTACTTAACAAAGTAGTCCACCTAAGTGACAATACTTGCAACACTATAACTAAGTTTGCCCTAGTCAGACGCTAGGACTGAAGCCCTTGCTATACGGCGAGCCGCACTCCTTCTCGATTGTTACTACAAAAAAATACGTCCTTACATCAGCCCGTAATCTCTCCTCCACGAGTTGTATTTGCGAGTCCAGTTCCCGCTCCAGTCTTTCCAGGTCAGCCTTCCGGGCCTCCTTCTCACTAAAACCAAGCATACATCCACAAATATATGATTTTTATAACCTTAATTGATATATTGCAAAAGTTGTCTAGGAAAGTTTTTTTAATCTAAAAGAGAAACACTTGTCCCGACGGAAATGAAAATATCTAAAAAAACAACTGAACATTGATGGGTGATGCCATTTATATTAATCAAGTCTTTTTGAACTGATGGGTAGCGTTGCTAGATGATTTTTTGTTTCTCTACACATATTTTTGAATCTAGACTAAATTTACACGGCGTACCCTTTTTTTCGTTTGCTAAGAGAAAGAACATTGGTAACGACAGCATTTAGGGATAGAAACGACGTTGTTAGCGGGCTTGTGAACTAAAATTCGGCGTTTTTTATCTATGGCAGAAAGTCTGATCTTGCTAATTTATAAACCAAACGCTTTGCTCGTGGTAAGTTCATGAAATTATCTTTCTCTGCGTCTAAGGACTCCTAAATCACGACAAATTTAGGAACCGTCTGCCACAGGGAATTTCTTCTACATTTAAACATTGACATAGCTCATTAGTATTGTTCTCTGTGGTCTTACTTCATTTGGGGATGTTATTTTTGTGTTATTTCTATGATAAAGCTTGTCATAAGTCCGAACTATATGAGAGAGCGCAGGTCTTTTATAAACTTTTAAGTTTGAAGATTGTATGCACAAGGAGGTGTTGTGATAAAAGCTACAGTCATGCTTTGCTCTACGAATACCTTTAAAACTGGAAATTCTAGTATAATCTTCAATCCTTCATATTTAACAGCAAGCATGAAACTTCAAACTGGAGCCTAGTTTTTCGTGTTCGATGATGCTGCATATTTAAACAAGTATCCAATTAACAGAAAGCTTATTTAACAATAAATCGGTCTTTTGACTTTCCCGTATAGTATAGTTTTAAAACATTGGCTTTCATTTGATCCAAGAACCCTCGTAAACTCACTTCTCGTATACCTGTTCCAGCGTCTCGTGTTCTGTCCGCTCGACTTTAATATCCTTTTTGAAGCTCTCTACCATATTTGCAAACGGTTGCGCAAGTTCCGGATATGAATCGCGGATGAAATTCTGAAGTTTTTGGGCCTGCGCTAAACTGGAGAGGAAATATTAAATAGTAAATATCAATAGTTATATCCTGAAAATCCGCATGTTTTCCTAGTTTTGAGGGATAAGGGATAACTTTCATCGTTCCAGTAATGTTATTACATTCGATTAAATTGAATAACCAGTATACCTAGCGTTTACCTATTTTCCTTTTTCGAGGAAATGTAGCAAAAAAAATATACTGAAAATGCATAGGTACATTGCATTTTATACCTTGGCCTTAGAAATCTGTGATTATTTGTGAAAATTTTCAACCCGGTGATTGTTATCAGCTTATTAAGGTGGTATAGCTACGCCTACCTTTACGAAAGTCATTTGATACAGAAATCCAGTTTGCACTTTTTTGAAAGTGCTGAAGGATTTCCATTCAAGGAATAACACATCTGGCCAATTTCCTTTGCCATGGATCCCCGAACTTATAACTTTTAAAGGAGCTTAAAATGCGGAGACCTAAAATATGGTTGTCATTTGTCCATTCAGTATACTCGGCACAAATAGTTAAAGATATTTACCAAAAAGCATTTTCAGAATGTTGATATTTTTTTCAATCTATTTACTTTCTTGGAAGAAATGTATCTTCGAGTTTGCTAACCTAGCATAATTGCCCAAAATTTCCTTCACAAAATGGTGTAAGTTGATTTTCACGAATTTGTGTATACAGGTTGGAAGATAGGTTGTATATAAATCTCATGATGTTTAGTCCAAAAATCATTTCCAGGATAAAACCTGTGCTGCCTCTGATAGGACGGCAAAGGCCTTGATGATCTGCATAAACTGCAAAAAGACACTTTAAGCCGATAATATCAGCCATAACTAAGCAATTGCAGAGCCCATTTTTAAACTAATTCAACACTGCTGAATAAAATCAAAGCGGCGTAATCCCTTCATCGTTAGAATGCTATTGCACGTGGATTGGTTGTCCGTTGTTAGTAAAACTTTATTTGGTAGGTATTTCAGTGGCAAGATGTCTTTCTTGAGGGTTTACTTAAGTGTTGATCTTGTGAAATTTTACACGACATTTTGAAATGTGTTTTCGATTAGGAAGCAGTACTTACGTGAGGTTGCAGTATTACCTACCGTGCTGCCTAGCGCGAAAGTACTTTGGACACACCAGGATGCCAGCTTTTGAATGCATGTCTTTGTGGCAGCCTGCAAGAGCCACACTTGGTAAAAAATGACTTCTTACGTGGTATGTATTTGTTTACTTATTTTCCACGTCCTTCTAAATTCAAAAAAATCTTTTCAAGAAAACATGCTCAGAAATAGCTTTTCTTGTTTTAATTTGATATCCAATTACGTCTCCTTATATAATAATATACTCGAAGGAACGTTGTAATTTTGTTTTAGAACATACCTCTAATTATGAGGCTTTTTAAGACTGTAACCTGTTTATTCAAATGGTATCGTATTCGCCCGTATATTGATGCCCCCTCATTAAATATGCAACATTTTTCATATTCCTTGTATTTTTTATGAACTATATATAGCGTCATTATAATGGCGTGCAGGAATATATGATTCTCCTTACACGGTAAATGTACAGCTTATAAAATGAAAATTCTGGACGCAAATTTAGCGGCAGATCGAGCTTAAAAATACTCTGGAATTACGAAACGTTTTCTTAAACCCTAAATATAACCCTCACTTTGAGTTAAAATTTTAGAAGGAAGACCTGACCTGCTATCAAAGGAATACAATAAATATAATTTTTTTCTCACGTTTTCTATAAAGCATATTAGCATCGAAAATAAATAGAAAAAGTGCATACTACTACATGTAAGCAGCCATTGTTTAACAATTGCGGATTTTCGCAGGCGGCCAAAAAGAAGTGCATGTAAAGGCTGATATCCTGGCGTATCCAAATTTACATTGGCAGTCGCCTGCACCGTAAGTTAATATTACAAACCCACTTGAGTACTTCCTCTTAATCATGAGTTCGGTCAGTGACTGTAGTGCTCGCGTGTCGGGTGCTACCTACCTCTGTCGAAAGGCCGAATTAATCTCTTCCGGAGATGACTCATAAATACTGTATTTGCGTTTGTTGAAGGTTAGCGTTCCTTTAGGTCGTTTGTGTCCCCACGAATTTCCATTTGTAAGTAGGTGGTCGTTATTTGGCGTTGGGGGGATGTAAGTGGTAGTATCCGGAGTGGTACACATTTCGCCCATACCATTCTCTTTCGCCTGCTCCATTGTCTTCTGCCACTCCTCCAGTTCTGCTAACAACTCATTTATTGTAACAATTCCATCGTGATCCGTATCCAACCGGTCAAAAACTGCTGTCGCTAAGTTCTGTGGGAGGTTTATGGCTGGGCTGGAACACAGATGAAGCCATCGGTCTCGGTTAAAAGTCCCGGACCCATCCGTATCGTAGCTCTTGAGAAAAGCCGCCAGTTCGACCTTCGTCTCCGCTGCCATTTTGCAGGAACAGAATGCCAGCTGAAGAAATCGCGCGGCTTAAATGCCTATACTTGGTGACACAGAAAAAAAAACAGAGCTGTGCGCGTTTGTGCTTCTGCAGCGAGCGCTCTCTTCGATCGATCAGCCAATCAGCTGCGCCTGTGTGATCGTGAAAACGTGTTACTCACAAGGCTGGATGCCACCTCATGAGAGCTCAGTTCCTCACAGGCCAAAAAACACCAATGAGACGTTCCAGTGCATGTGAAGATGGTAGGCATGACAAGGATCCAAACAGACTTCTTAAGAAAAGAGGGGGCGGGATACTAACCGCCAAGTTGTCAGCGGTTAATGCGTGATAATACAGCAGGTTCTCTCAGCCGTAAGACAAATTGCAGCCTTTTTGCCAAATGGACGGCGATTAATTCGAAATCAGCAGACAGAACAAACGAATGTAACTGCTACGGTCTCTCCACGCAAATACTTAAATTACTCTTTTATAAGAATAAAGCATTCTGGTGTGTACAATAGGTTCATTCACGATAGATTATTGCGTTCGCTATAGCAGCGACAACGTTGCAAGGACTTCGGAAAACATTGTGGCCTTGGTTCTCGATGTATATTTTCCGTTGAAAATCGGACTGCTGATTTCACGTTTCTGTGTGGTTTCAAAGAGGGCAAACAAGAAGAAATTGCGGTAGCGTGACTGGAATCTCTCTTTCTCACATATTGCCTCGTGAATAGGCTAGGCCCGATTCCTTATCTCCCTCACAACAGTGAATACTATACGTCTAAGACCAAATAACCAACGCCACATATTAAAAAGAGTTTCGAATCCGTTCCTAGACTGAGTTCTACTTTGTGAAGAACCACAGTACTGACCTCGTAGGGTTGGACAATAAAGAAGATGCACAAACAATTTCATTCGTGGGGAGAGGGGGAAGGGAGAGAGTAGGTTCGAAAAATGCCGGTAGCTAGGTGGTCGTTGGCCATGCTAAGCTTGGAGCTTGCAGCAGGTTCTTTTGCGCACACAAAACCGGCTTCCCCAACCGGATAGCGGTTGCTTTTGCTGTTGTTAGCAGGCGCTGACCCAGTGACTTAGGGTAGTTTGGTGGGACC